CTTCTGGAAAAAAAAAGGCACATTATGTATTCGGGCCTCAATAAAAAAAAAGTCATGCTATAGCATGTCGTTTTTGGCAGTGCTATTGGCTTGCCCTGAAATGCTACTGAGTAGCCTTGTAAAGCCAGTGACATGCCTAGGAATGTTTATTACTAGCATAACAATGCTTATTACTGGCCTCTGCTAGTGATTGGACCATTTAGATTGTAGAAAACAAGCTGACCAATAAAAATCCTGCATGCTGATGAGTAGCCACCTCAGACCTTCATCAGGAGGTTTTATATGGACGAAGAGCACCGGAGCTTTATTATATATATTATTGTAGATATAGGAGCTTCATTTCAACATGTAAATGTAAAACATGAGAAACCGGTGAAGTGTTCTGGACTTTAAGAACTTGTGTTCTGGATTCGGTCCGATTTCTACCAGCAGTTACACAACATGAGTCCCGTGTGGACGAACTCGCCCTCTTCATTATACAGAACAAGGATGTTTGTAGCTGGTGGTCGGTGGGTCAGAATCCTTCAGAACTCAAACGGAAACCCAAGACGACTCACTCCTCCATCTTTGTTTGTCCCGCAGGACGACTGAGGAAACGCTGAACTCTGGGCTCTGATTGGTCCTCCAGGTCCGAACAATGTTTAACTGTGAGGAGGAGAACCTTCATCATCGCTGCAGTTTGGGACTCGAGGGGTTCTGTCTTTGAAAGTACACTCCTCTCTTCTTGTGTACTTTGGATCAGAGCCCACATTTATAGGACAGAACCTCCACACCCTGCTGTTGTTTACTGTTCTTTGTTCTCTGTGTTCTGTCCACAGTAACTTTTATATCTGAGCATTCTTCTATACAAACAGCTGTTTCTTGTTAGGAAGCTTCATTATCTCTGAGCGCTGTCAGACACTATTTTCATAAATATTTAAAATGATTCAGGATCATAAAAATCTGGTTTTTGCTTCGTTTTCCCCGAATCGCTTCGGCGGCGGCGGAGAGTCGACTCGTGGAGCATCAACAGTCACTTCAATAGGAAACACATCAGGCTGAAAAACACATGAAGGGTCATTTGTTGCCAATAAAATATTTTAAAATGAGAAAATTTCATAAACTGGATTGTGAAAAACAAACGTGACTATCTACGGAATTAGTCACCAGTCTAAGGATGCTAGCCTAAAAAAGGTACTGACGAGCCTAATGATGCCAGTGACTATCCAAACAGTGCAAGTAGCTAGCTATGGAATCTATTAGTAAGGCTAGTAATGCTTGTCACTAGCCTAATAATGCCAGTGACTAGCTTAGTATGCTCGTCACTAGCCTAAGCCTAAGAATCTTATCACTAGCCTAGGAATAGTAGTTGTTAGCCAAAGAATGTATTTGCTAACCGGGGAATGCTTGTGCCATGCTTAGGAATGCTGGTCACTAGCCTCAGGATGCTAGTGACTAGCTAGTGACTAGCCCTGTAATGCTAGTGATGATCCTAGGAATGCTAGTTGCTAGCCTAAGAATCTTTTCCTTGAACTAGGGATGGTTGTGTGTAAGAAGTATTAACTAGCTTGGTAATGCTAGCAACTAGGAATGCTAGTTGCTAGCTTAGGGATGGTATTGACTAATGATTGATTAAGCGATTCAGAATCACAAAAGGTGGTGTCGGAGAGTCGACCCATTGAGCCTTAATAGCCACATTAATGGCTGATATATCAGACTGGCGTTATCATTTAATACCAATAAATTATTTAAAAATTCAAAACTTTTAAAAGCCAGTACATATTTGGTGAAAAGCATTTTGACTTCTTATCTTAACATATAAACATACTGATGCCATTTTGTCCAATTAAACAAAGAATAGAAAAGATAAAAATAACTGACGGCGCTCTTGTTACAGCTAGCGGCCCTGCCAGCTGCCGAGCTAGCCTTAACTGAAGCTAACTAGTACCTTTTTCTTGTTTCTTGCATTTAAAAAAACATCTAACTTGATGCTTCAAGTGCTTAGTTTGTATAATGTATAATAATTCAGCAGCGAAATCTAACAGTAATTTAAAAAAAAAAAACAACACCAGATAAATTAGTGCTGCTAATGGCTAACTAGCCTAGCTTAGCTTAGCTTAGCAGAGCAGTGGTAACTGCAGCCTCTGACTCCAGTGAAATGCATGTTGTTGTTTTTTATTACATATAAATGATATAATGATTAAAACCCAAGGCGCCCTCTGGATGTATGTGCAAGTTCACGTGTGTGCAGCATCAGTAAATTCTAACTGTTGCAAAGCTAAAAGTTATAGAAACTGAAGGTAGTTAACTACAAGTGACAACAAAAAAAAAACGTTGAAAAAGCTTAAAAATAACCGACGGAAGAGTTAAAGTGCATCAAGTCTCAGTCGGTTAAATAAGGACGAACGTGTTAAAGTGGCTTCTGAGCTGAAGGCAGTGCTTCCTCTGAATCAGAGTTCAGTCAGCGCTGATTAATAATCCACCTTAAGGAGCATAAAACAAGATTAAACATCTGATAGTTTGCGTGCGAACCTTTACTTCCTGCTGCTGTCTGACTAACTGGAACAACAACCCTCTGCCTTGATATCTGCTGCTCCACGGAAACAGTCCAGAGGTTAGAAACACTCCCAGCGGTCGTGTTAAAATGTTGGATGAACAAGATGGAAACAGAGACTCCTGCTCCACACAACGGTGATGTTTTATTATTATTAAAAAAATAACGAGGATCATTTTTTGATTACATCTCATATAACACACACACATAAACACAAATACTGAAAAGTGCGTCCGAGACTCGGCAGCACGGAGACGCTGGCGGATCGGAACTGATCCGTTTGCTGCTACAACAGGTTCAGTCCATCAGCGCCGTACGACTGGATCGCTTTGATATCGAGGCAACAGCGGCAAGACAAAAAAGGATTTTGTAAATATGATTGTTTTGAAATAAATATACATGTGAAAAGCTGATGTGTGCTGTATCAACATCACGAGCAAATGGTTTGAATAAACTACAAACACATGAACACTCGTCTCTCAACTGAATCTCAATCCAGGATCACTCTTCTTGAAACGTCGCTCGACTGTCGCAGGCTTTCTCGGCTGCAGGTCCACGAACCGGCAGCTGGTCCGAAGGCTCTGAAGCTCCTGGTGAACTAATGGTACCGCTCTTCCTCAGTGTGAGCTTCGAACCACTGCAGCACGGCGTCCTTGTTGTTGTTCACCCACTCGATGTTCACGCGGGTTTGTTCGATGGCCTGCTGAGCCGCTCGGACGCCGGAACCGAGCTCGTACACGTCCGCAAAACGCTCCAGCTGCAAACAGAAGCAGAAGACACGACGTCTGAACAAGAAAAACTCTGATCTGTTTTGTTCGTCTGTGGTTTCGTTCGCCGCAGCAGCGCAGTGAAGTTCATTTATTGCTCTACAGCTAAAAGCAACTAAAACAGCACAAAATCATAAAAAAGTTTAGTTAGAAATAACTTGCAAAACCCAAAAATGATGGATAGAAAAGTTAATTATTCATTAGTGTAAGCTAAATCATGATGGATAATGAGCTATGAGTGATTTATTTAACAGTTGAAACCTTAAAGTGACGAAGAAATGTTGGAAAAGCTAAAAGTGTAGCTGAAAGAGACTCGTGAATCGTGGGAAAAAGCAAAATTTATACGTGTAAAAGTTTAAATAATTAGCTAAAAGTAACATATAATTGTTTAAAAAGCTAAATGTGCTGGATTAACAACAGAAATATGTAATAAATATTCAGGCAACAGTTCAGATTTAGCTTAAAGTGATAAAAACTGGTAAAAACAGGCTAAAAGTGCTGGATTAATACTTGAAATAATGAGCTAAGAGCAGGGACGAAACAGCTGAAACACAAATTAGATCTAAATAGAGATACAGGAGCAGCTGAACGAGGAGAATAAGTTTTGATAAAACTTGAAGTAACGGCTTAAATGTAGCTGAAAGAAGCTCGTGAATAATATAAAATCTAAAATGAACAGACACCAGTTGAAATGATTCGCTGAACAAACTGTGAACTGGTAAAAGTGAAGGTACATTCATGGACATTTAATGGACAATTCATCAAAATATCTAAAACTAAATAATGGATCTGACAGTTGAATGAAGATAAATGAAACAAAAAACAAAGTTAAAAGGCCAAAAATAATATAAAAATGGTTGAAATGTCTTTAATAAAGACAGCAAACTGTTCTAATTTAGCTGAAATAAGACGTCCAGTTTGTGTCACTACAGATAACTGACTAAAATAACTTGAGTATTGAGGTTGACGCTGATTTAAACTTTAGACATGATACGGGGGAAACTGTAAAACCTGAACACGTCGCTGACGAACGCGTCGCTGATACGTTATCAGGGTGTTTCTTCTGACTCGGTTTTGGCTTGTGATTAGAGCTTCTGCGCTTGAACGCCGATAACTATCGTATAAACAGCACAGAGGATTCATGAATTACCTCCTCGAGCTCGAACGGCGTGGAGAACCTGCTGGTGACGCCTTGGATCAGAAGCGACGCGTCTCTGGAAAATAAAGGAAACAGCGTCAGCGAAACAGGAAGCTGCGCTTAAAGCAGAACTGGTGAAAGAAACGGTCCAAATTCACATAAAAGTGACGTAAAAAACAACACATGTAAAATATTTAACAGTTCAAATAAGCTAAAAATATGAATTTTCACAAAGTTAATAATCAACTAAAAATAGCTTATAAATGCTAATTTAAAAAAAGCTCAAACTAACCGATTTAACGCTTTAAATTCAGCTAAAAATATCAGAACTGTTGCAAAAGCTAAAATCATAATAACTGTAACTATTAAAATATAGATCTGAAAGTAACGCCGTTGCTTTAGAAGCTAAATGCGACGGACGTAACAGTTGAACTTCAGCTGAAATAAACTAATAGAACCGTAAAGTCCCACATGAGCAGCTGTCAGGACCGACTCAGAGTGGATGGAACTAAAACTGCTGATAACGTTAATCTCAGTTACGTCCTCACACGTCGCTGTTTGCTGTAGAAATGAAACCGTCCATCATGTTTGTTTGGCCGATAAACTTTATGAAGCACAACTAATGATAAGCTCAGATTGACCAGCTCGACCTTCGTCCTGGATCACAGATTTTATGCTCCGCTGTTTATTATGGTCCGTTCTTTACTGTCTCTTTATCCGAAACTGTACTTCAGTAGCTTCAGTAAACTCGGTTTACAACGACCAGGAAGCGCAAACAGACGAAGCACGTATCACTGCTCTACGGGACGGTTGTTTAAAAGGTCAGCGTGAACGAAAACACAGCTAAAGTCATGGAAACACAGCTAAC